CGCCTCCAAGGACCGCAGCGGGGTGTGCCTGGCCGCGCTCAAGAAGGCGCTGGCGGCCGCGGGCTACGACGTGGAGAAGAACAACAGCCGCATCAAGCTGGGCCTGAAGGGCCTGGTGAGCAAGGGCACCCTGGTGCAGACCAAGGGCACCGGCGCCTCGGGCTCCTTCAAGCTCAACAAGAAGGCGACGCCTGAGCCTGCCAAGCGCAGGGCCCGCAAGCGCTCCTCTGGCAAGGCCAAGAAGCTGGTCTTGTCCAGGGACTCGAAGTCGCCCAAGAGTGCCAAGGCCAACAACAGGCCCAAGAAGCCCAGGGCGTCCTCGGGAAAGAAAGCTGCCAGGGGCGAGAGAAAGGCCCGGGGAACCCCGTCGAAGCAGCAGCAGAAGAGTCCAGCCAAGGCGAGGGTGGGGAGGCCGAAGCCCGGCAAGGCGAAGCTGCCCTCGCAGAAAGCCAGCTCCAGGAAGGTGGCGACCAAGAAGTGAGAAGTGGGGCGAGAGGCCCAGTCTGAAAGAACCCAAAGGCTCTTTTAAGAGCCACTCACATAGTCCTAAAATGGCTTGACACTGAAACTGCATGAAGCTTCCGGAACATGGGGGGGGGGTTAATCTAGGGGCCTGACTCTGGAGGGAGTTGAGCTGTGGCAGAGTGAGAATGGAGGTGGGCTTTGGCAGGGGTGGTGGATACTCCAGTGCATCTTCCGGGGTCTAGCTACTTGAGGGTTGGCCCAGCCCAGACAGCTAAGTTGGGGGCCAGGTCACACTGGGGCCAGCTTTGGCTACTGTGCAGAAGGCCCTTGTAGAGGAAGAGGTCAACTGGAAGCCCAAATGAGTTTAAACCAAGTGCCTCATTCCAGCCCATGCTTTCAGGTGGCCTAGACAGGACCTCCAGGGATTCTGAAGGGGCCAGTAGTTAGTATGTCCCTGAAATTAAAGGGATTTTTTTTCGAACCTCTATTCTCTGGTGTAGTTAAAGATTTTTTTTCCATTGAGTGACAACTGAAATGTGTCTGAACCTTAACTGCAAGAAAGAAATAGCGCTTATGTAACTTGCAGTATTAGGTGCTGGTACTTTACGTAGACTCACATCACTTCCGTTTTAATGATCCTGGTCTAGCATGATTGTCATCCCATGGATTATTTGATATGCTTTTGATGTATGAAATCCAAGGGCTTCACAATGCCAGTGTTTCCCCAGGCCAAAGATGTTAACTCAAAACCTTTACCAGGAATTGGAGTGGTGCCTGCACTTAGGAACTGAATTCAACCTTCTGTGTCACAAAACAGTATAAAGGAATTTAGGATCCAAGCAGAAGTACCTTTTTAAAAAACCATTTTCCCTTATTTTGTGATTTAACCTTATGCGTGCTTAGGGATCATCCCAAGTATTAAATCTACAGTTAGTGCATTTCAGTCTAGATATTTGAGGCAATTTTGAATAAACCCACTGCAAAACTATGAGGCATGTCGGTGTTTTCATATGCGAATGTGCTTTGATGGCTTAACTATCGCTTTTGTGTAATTAACTCTTAAAATATGTTGCTTGACTCCCATGTGGTCGACTGTGTTTTGAGCCCTGGACTCAGTGGCTTGAAAATCACACCAGGCACATGTGCGTGCATGCACTAGATTCCAGAGTGAAGGGATTGGGTGTGGCTCTCTCCCTTGGGGGTTGATTTCACACTTGCCCTCTCACTCTCCCCTCAGCCCTTGCACCCTATGATAAAACTTTAAAAAAAAATTGTGAGGGACCAGCTGATGGCATAATGGCTTCATTGCTGGAGAACTGTGGGTCAAGTCCTGGACCTAAGGGTTTAAACTCACACCGGGTGCGTGTGCATGTCCAAAATCCCGAGAAGAGAATGGAGAGAGCCACGTGGCCATTCCCCTGAAGGGTGATTTCTTGCTTTCTGTCCTCTGACGTGACCTACTGCAAAAACCTCTTTGAAAAAATTATGTCTTAAGGTGGAATACTAGATGTCTCCATTTGTGCAGGACCGACCACAGCCCGAGCTGCTGGACACGGCATCTCCTGCAAGGTGGAACTCGAGGAGGTGCAAGAACACAGTTCAATTTCTGACCTGGCAGGGAACGTGACAGCTGCACGCAGGTGGTGAGCAGCAGGCCTAGCCCTGCAGTTGGCTGACCTCGACACTATGGAGCCACCCAGAGACTGGGCCCTGCCACTGAGGCCGCTGGGCACGCACCATGGGCACTCCAGTATGGGCTCACCTCTATTGGTTCTCCCCGCTAAGGCAGCTACCATGGCGGTTTGGGTGAACTCTCTGCAAGGTTTAGAATCGCACTCCCTGCCCCTTCTCCCCTTTTCTCCTCCTCCCCCGCAAAGTGTCTCCGGAGCTTCCCGCAGCCGTTAAGCTCTGACGTCAGGAGCCCTTTGTGTACCCGACGTTCCTGACAGCTTCACTGCTAGAGTGCTCCTTGATCACGCTGGGACGTCAAGTGCCCGCGAACTATACAGAACGGAGCATCCCCTCCGCCACCACCTCACTGTGGAAAAGGCCACTTGTCACGTGTCGCCCGTTAACTCAAACAGTTTCAGACATCTGTGAAAGTACTCAGCCCTTTAAACGACTTTGTGGGCGGCCCTGAAAAGGGCCTTTGGTCGGGTAACGACGGGACGCGAGGACGGGGTCGCTCAGCCGCCGAAGCCGTAGAGGGTGCGGCCCTGGCGCTTGAGCGCGTACACCACGTCCATGGCCGTGACCGTCTTGCGCTTGGCGTGCTCGGTGTAGGTGACGGCGTCCCGGATCACGTTCTCCAGGAACACCTTGAGCACCCCGCGGGTCTCCTCGTAGATGAGGCCGGAGATGCGCTTGACGCCGCCGCGCCGGGCCAGGCGGCGGATGGCCGGCTTGGTGATGCCCTGGATGTTGTCGCGCAGCACCTTGCGGTGGCGCTTGGCGCCGCCCTTGCCCAGGCCCTTCCCGCCTTTGCCGCGACCAGACATTGTCAGGATGCTGGAGTTGTTTGCGCAGTGCCCGATAGGGCCGACGAAGGCCTTAAATACTCCTCTTGCGGACCTGATTGAAAGCGACGACGGCGGGGAATTTTTTTCCAACCTACGTCACTAAGGGGTGGAGCCAGACTTGAGTCATTAACGATTCGATGTTTTCATTGGCTAGAGCCACTCGCTCATCCTCGGGCTGGCTGCAAAGGGCGGGTCAGGCTTTGTTGGTCTTAAAAGCTACAGTTTCTGTTTATTTTGCGTTATTTGGGACTAAGTGTCCCTAGGTCAGAGTTGTCGCTATTTCCTCAGTGCCGCTGAGCTCAGCGTCCCACCGCAAGTTTTTTATTACGTCTGCTTAGTAAGCAGCTCGGTTGTGGTTCCTTGGGGGAAGTCTACATAATGTGTGAAGGAGCGTGGATTTGCAGATGGGGGCTTTCTCTCCCAGTCCTTCCTGTTTAAGCAGGTGCATTTTAATGGCCTTCTCTCCTGGGCACACAGAGGCGTGCCCCGGAAGGGCCTGTGCTCGAAAAGACAAAAACCTTGTAAGTACGAAGTTCTTTGTCTTCTGCTTTTCCAAGCCGATTCACATATGTGTCGACTCTTTTTTCTGAAAAAGCCTGAGAGGCAGATCCCTGTCTGAATTTGGTTAACTCCCTGCCCCGCGCCCCTTTCTACCTGGCTGGCCCATCCAGGGGTACTTCCTTTCCTCCTTGTCCACCTGCTCCAGTTGGAGAGACTGGAACAGAGATTGTGGAGTCGGGGTTCACCTGGACTGCAGAGCTAATACTTGATTAAGGCCGTTACAAGGTCTACTGGTGAGGCTTTGATAGGATTATTGGTGTTAAGACAAGGCCAATCCCACTGGACAAACAGAACAAAACATTAGATTGGGTTGGCATGTGGTTCGACAAGAGAGGCTTCTAAACTCAGAATTTTCTCTTCAGTTTCTTGCTCCAGACTTAAAACAGTGTCCACAGGAAGAAGCACTCGGTTAGGACAGCAAGCAAAAAGCCCGCACCCCTTTACTAAACGAGTGGTTATTATGGAGTCAGAATGAGCCTGCAGCCTGGGTGGACAGTCTACTGTAATGTCGGACTGGCTCCTGTGAAGGAGAGCCCCCAGAGAGGGCAGGGCAGCTCTAAGTACCACAGCTTGTGACACTTCAGGAACAACTGGGCGCTTCTGTCCTGCCTCAAACTGGCAGTTTCCTGACTCAGTTCCCTCTCCCACAAAACTACCTCTTAGAACAGGAGACTGCTGGGAGGAAACAGGCAAGGGCTGAGACCATAGGTCAGAGTGAAACCTTCACCTGCTTTCAAGTCACGGAAATAATCGTACTGTAAACGACGTGGAAATGTTATGTGAAAATCTACGCGCGTGCCCCTCAAACACCCCACTACTGCTCCTATTAAACCCTCTAGGTAGCCTTTGTGCCGCTGTGTTTTGACTTTGAGATGAGTGACAGAACGTAAGAATCACGTCGTCAGGGGATCAGCAGGTGGCGCAGTGGCTATGTCACTGGCCGCCCGCAAGTCTGATTGCAGTTTAAGTCCCAGGCTTGGTGGTCTGAAAATCAGGGCGGACGCTGGTGTACGAGTCCAAGATTTCAGCAG